AGGGGTGGGTGCTTTACAGACTTATTTTGAAATTTTGAATTTTTTATTTTTTTGGTACTGGGTATTGAATCCAAGAACATTTTACCACTGAGATACATCCCCAGGCCTTTCTTTTTCGTTTTTTTTTGAGAGAGAGAGAGAGAGAGAGAATTTTTTAATATTTATTTTTCAGTTTTCGGTGGACACAACATCTTTATTTTTATGTGGTGCTGAGGATTGAATCCAGCGCCGTGCACATGCCAGGTGAGCACACTACCGCTTGAGCCACATCCTCACCCCTTGAGCCATATCCCCAGCCCCTCAGGCCTTTTTATTTTTTATTTTGATACAGGATCTAAGTTGCTGAGGCTGACCTTGAATTTGTGATTCTCCTGCCTCAGCCTTCCAGAGTTGTGAGAATCACAAGCATGCATAAACACACCCAGGGAAAAATTAGAATATTTGCCTGACACTTCTTGGCACAATTCTTTTTTCTCTCAATGGCTACTTCAGGCCTGCACGAGTAGCAGACCTTTTGGTGCAACCCAGCCAAAAGTCTGGCCTAGGAGATTCAAACTTAAATTTTCGTCCAGCTACCAGGATTCTCTTATTGAATTGACATGGTCATGGAGCACAAAGATAACAACCACTTGATTGAGGACTCTGCTCTCTGGCTCCCCCAAAACATGCCAAGGCCAGTTGAACAATGGATATCCACATCCTAAAAACTAAATAAACACACACAAATAAGAAAAAAAGGATAGCCACATCCTAATCCCCCAAACCCCTGAGTATCGGTCTATTATAGCAAAAGAGATTTTACAAATGTGATTAAGTTAAGAATCTTGAGATGGGGAGATGATCCTGGATTATCCCAGTGAATCCAATGTAATCACAAGTGTCCTTATAAGAAGGAGTCCAAGAGTGATTTCATTATAGAAGAAGGTGATATGATGATGGGGAGCAGAGGGACAGAGAAAATGCCAAGAGCTATTTTACTATAGAAGAAGGTGATGAAGCTAACCTTCAACCCTAATTGCAGATGCCAACTTACTTAATGCTTTAAAGATGGAAGAAGAGGGCTGGGGCTGCAGCTCAGCGGTAAAGTGCTTGCCTCGCATGTGTGAGGCACTGGGTTCGATCTTCAATACCACATAAAAATAAAGATACTCTGTGCTCATCTACAAATAAATAAATGTTAAAAAGAAAAAAGATGGAAGAAGGGGCCGTAAACCAAGGAATACAGCACTAGAAGCTGGAAAAGGCCAGGGAATAGGTTTTCTTTTAGTAAGGGCATGGCCCTGCAGACACCCTAGTTTCAGGCCAGGGACACCTATTTCAGATTTCTGACATCTAGAACTACAAGAGGGTACACTGGTGTTATATTAAGTAATTAATGTATGGTGATTTGCTATGCAGCAGCAGCTGCATAAAAGTGGGGGTGTAACAGGTCTTTGTAGATATATTCCCTTATCTCACTCTTACCTGACCAGTCTGGATAAAAGGTTCAGATGCAAATAGGGAACAACAGGAGACAAGGCTGTTGGGATTTGAGGAACTAAGTTTCAGGCCATGGAAGGAAAGCAACTACTCCAGTCCCTTAGGGAACTACAGTTCCTACTACTCCCCTAAACTTTGCTCAGGTAGCTATAACAAAATACCACAGACTAGGGCCAGGGTTGTGGCTCAGTGGTAGAGCACTTGCTGAGCATTTGATTCCTGACACCACATAAAAATAAAGAAATAAAATAAAGGTAGTGTGTCCATTTGGAGGCTGGAAGTTCAAGGTCAAGATACTGGCTGATTTGATAGTGAGGGGTGCTTCTTGGCTTGCAGTTTTCAAACAGCAGAGAAAGAGAAGAGAGCTCTTTCTTGTCTTTTCTTACAAGGCCACTAATCTCATCACGACCTAACAACCTTTTGAAGGCCCCACCTCTAAGTACCATCATACTGGGGGCTATGAATGGAGCTGGACATGAACATTTAACTCATAACAGATCCTGGGAAATGTGGGGAGTAGAATCACTTCATAATCTCTTTGTTGGGATCCAACTCCTCAACCTGGTAAACACCATCACAATGCTCTGAGTCAATCTACAGTCTTGACTCTGTGGGTTTGCCACCCCCCAGCCCACGTGCAATGAAAAACAAATGTGGATGAAGTATGTCACCATCAAATTCCCTCAACCTCCCACCCCCTACCCAATAGGAACACAAATACCTTGTTTTGGATTCACTGATATAATTTCATGTGTTTCTCCTGATACCCAAGCATCCCTGAGTCAGCAAATCCTGTTGCCTCTACCTTCCAAGTGTATCCTGAATTCAATCAGGATTCCCTGAGCTGCGGAGAGGGTCATGCAGTCAAAGTAGCAACAGCACTGGAAGCTCTGTGAGGGCAGCTAAGTGAAGGAGGCAAGTGGGCACTAAAACCCAACCTCAGCTGCTGAAGCAATGTGTTTCAATGTGCTCAAAGGCAGGTAGGTAGCTCCGGGCCTGAGTCATCTCCCACCTCCACCCCTACTGCCCTGGTCCAAGCTGCATTCATATTTCATTTGGATTACAAAAATAGCTCCAGCATCCCATGCTTCATCTTCTGCTCCCCAACTGCCAATTTCCATACATCAACCTGAATGATTCTTTACTTCTTAGTTTATGCCTTGTTTTTTTTTTTTAATGATCCTTTCAAAGTATGAGTCAAAATCATGTCACTCTATTTGCATTTCACTCAGACTGAAAGCCAAAGACGTTCTCATGGCCTATGTGGCTTCCAGTGCTGTTGCTACTTTGACTTCATGGCTTATTACTCTCCCTTTAATTCATTTCTTTCTGCCACTTTATTGTTATTCCTGGAATATATCTGCTTCAAGACCTTCATCCTTGTCCTCTCTGCTTGGAATACTCTTCACCAGATATCCTCATGCCTTTCTCCTTCACTCCATTCAGATCTCTACCCTTTCATGTTAAACAGCACTTGCCAATCCCTCTTAGTATCTTCATGTATTGTTACTGTCTGCTTTCTACAATCAGAGTATAAGCTCCATGAGGTCAAAACTTTGTTTTGTTCAATGTTATCTCCCCAGCACCTGGAACTGTGCCTGCCACGTAGTAGACACTCCTAAATATTTGTTAAATGAATGTTGGATGAATGGATGGATAACCACTAACACACCTCAAGAGGAACAATTGCTTGACAACACCACAGACAAAACCAAGTGGTGACCCAGGTTGGACTCTCTCCTGCAGGTCTCACTGCATTCTTACCTTTTCTTCTCAGACCCTCTGATCTATTCCCCACCAGCCTAGTTACCTCCACCCAATGGAAGGAAAAGTTAAAACAACAGACTGATGCACTATGTGTAATTTTGTTGGAAGCTAAAAAGAGAATGGAGAGCTAACTTGAGTGGTTTTTTGTTGGTTGGTTGGTTGGTTAGTTTGATTTGGTTTGGTACTGGGGAATGAATCCAGGGGTGCTTCGTGGTGGTGGGGGGGGTATGTGTATGTGTGCACGTGCCCTTAGCACCACAGAGATGGAATTCAAGGGCACTCTACCACTGAGCCACATCCCCAGCCCTATTTTATATTTTATTTAGAGACAGGGTCTCACTGAATTCCTTAGCACCTTGCTTTTGCTGAGGCTGGCTTTGAAGTCAAGATCCTCTTGTCTCAGCCTCCCAAGTCACTGGAATTTCAAGTGAGTGCTACCATGCCCAGCTGTAGTCTTTCTTTTTTTAATACATGTATTTTTTTTTTTAAAAGAGAGAACTTTAATATTTATTTTTTAGTTATCGGCGGACACAACATCTTTGTTTGTATGTGGTGCTGAGAATCGAACCCGGGCCGCAAGCATGCTAAGCGAGCGCGCTACCGCTTGAGCCACATCCCCAGCCCCTTAATACATGTATTTTTAAGAAGTGTTGAGTAAGTTTACTTCTGAAGCATGTATAATCAACTGATTCAATTTCATAAGTTTCACAATGATCACTGCTTAGGAGTTACATAATTATTTGACCAATGTTGCAAAAGCATTTGGAATAACAAAAAGGCAAAGGAGCACTTTTATGTGAGATAGCAATGCAAACTATCAAAGGTTAACATTAAACTGTTTCTTATCTTTCTATTGTAGCCTTCAAATTCAATGCTCCTTAGAAGCTGCCTACATTTTTCCTGACCTTATTTTTTCTAAAGAGAAGTTAGGCATATTTACTTTTCTATGAAAAGTCAGTTGGTCTAGATCTCCTAAGTTTTTCACTGGAGAGAATGAGATTAACTCTCTTTTAACTTCTCCTTGCCTAGGAGATCCCTCTCCCTAGGGATTTTTTCTGGTGGCTTCCTTTGAAGGTAGTTGGTCCTTCATTCAGACTCCTAAGTGGGGAAATTGCCTAACTCCCTTGTAAGTCATTTTCATCATCAGAAAGTATCTCCTGGTACCACACTAGGCTTTACCAGATACAAGTCTCTACCTGCCTTCTAGGGGCTTAAATTTCAGATGAAGGTACGGAGATATACTAAAAGAGCCAGATCAGTAAACTAGAGAGGCAGCAGAAGGGACAGCATATGTAACTTGCTGGGGTATTCACTCAAAAAATTATTTAGGTGCTAATGTGTTAGGCACCATGTTGAGTCACAGGGGATAAAGAGATAAACAAAATGTAAGGAATTAGTCTTTTAAAGCGTGAGAAAGTGAGGCGTGTGGAAAACACAGAAGGGCCAGTGAGGCTGAAGCATGAGAACCAAAACTTGGAAAAGTTGAGGCCCGGCAGGGCTGACAAGCAGGGGCCAGATCACGCAGGGCCTTGCAGAGTGTGGTCCGAAATCCGGATTTCGTTCTACAACAGCCTTCAGAACGGGGCATCCTTACCCCAATTTTACTCATGAGGAAGATCAGGTTGGGGGCGCAGACGAGAGGCAGAGCGGCGTCACCGAAAATCGGCTCGAAAACCAGTCGAGCTCCGGGACCTAGAAGCCGCTAGCGGCTGGCGCGGGCAGGGACTGGCCCCGCGCGCCACGCGGACACTGGGCATGCGCGGCTCGCCGACGGAAGCCGGGAAGGAAGGGGGCGGGGCCGACGCTGGCGGGCGCGGGGAAAATGGCGGCGGCGAACGGGACCGGAGGAAGCAGCGGGATGGAGGTGGATGCAGCAGGTAACGGGCGGTGCGGGCGGCTTCTGGAGATACCTTTCCGGGGTGCGTTAAGGCCGTCCTCGACTCCTGGGAGAAGCGACGTCTCTCCCCGGGTAACTTGCGGGAAGGATGTACGGCCCGGGCTCTGCAGTTCCCCACTCCCATCTCCAGGGAAGAACGTGGGGCGCGGACTCTCACCCTTTCTCCTTTTCCTCCGCCTTTAGTAGTACCCAGTGTGATGGCCTCCGGAGTGACTGGGAGTGTTTCAGTCGCTCTTCATCCCCTTGTCATTCTCAACATCTCAGACCACTGGATCCGCATGCGCTCCCAGGAGGGGCGACCTGTGCAGGGTGAGTGTTCTGCATAACACCCAATCCAGCTCCTTGGTCTCCTCCTTCACTCTTTCCCCCTTCTTTTACTGAAGCGAATCCCCCCCACCCCTAAATCACTGTTTCTCCAATATTTGGTTCACACTGGACCTCAGACCCTCAGGTGATTAGGGAAAATATTAAGATTCCTTACCCTCATCTCCTACATGTTGTTCTCTCCCTAGTGATTGGGGCTCTGATCGGGAAGCAGGAGGGCCGAAATATTGAAGTGATGAACTCCTTTGAGCTGCTGTCCCACACCGTGGAAGAGAAGATTATCATTGACAAGGAATATTATTACACCAAGGAGGAGCAGTGTGAGAGGGGAACAGAAGTGGGGAAGAGGGTGGGAGTTTAAAAAAGAAAAGCTTAAGGTGGACAATATCAAGAGGGCTGGGAAGGAATAAACAGGAGAGAAGATTTAGAACAGGAGGGAAGATTAAGGGAGAGTAGCTCTCAGAAAAAGAACACATTCAGGTATCCCCCACAAGAAAAGCGAAAAATGAAAGAAGCCTGGGTAGAAAAGAATAATTGTTCTAAACCTAGCCACGAATTGAGGAGGGAGGGAGAAATTGTGGAAATAAATCAGGAGCTTCAAACTAAGGAAGGATGGTTTAAGGGAATACTGTGTGCTCTGGCCCCTTCCTCTCCAGTTAAACAGGTATTCAAGGAGCTGGAGTTTCTGGGTTGGTATACCACAGGGGGGCCGCCTGACCCCTCCGACATCCACGTCCATAAGCAGGTATACACACTCACATGTGCATGCTTGGGCAGAGAATAGAGGATGAGGGGAAGAAGAAAGATGAGGTGTTGACTTCCCTGTGCATGACTCTCTTCTAGGTGTGCGAGATAATTGAGAGCCCCCTCTTTCTTAAGTTGAACCCTATGACCAAGCACACAGATGTGAGTATTATTGACCCCAGGCTTGCTTGTCATTCTTGTCTATCATTGTTCTTATTTTGTATCCTCATCCCATGTTATGTTTTACTGTGACATCTCTTCTCTATTGGAGAATGTCAGAGTTGAATCTCCATGCTGTCACCTATAAGCTGTGACTTTGGGCTAGTCACTTAAGCTCTGAGAGGCATTTTCATGTCAGATTGGGATTATCCCTATCTCACGAAGTTATTGGGGAAATTTGGTAAGAAAATGTGTGAAAAGAACCCAGTTCAACTTTTGGCACATAGTGAGATTCAGGAGCTAATAGCTGTTCTTCATTTGTCATTTACAGCTTCCCGTCAGCGTTTTTGAGTCTGTCATTGATATAATCAATGGAGAGGTAATACCTGACCCTTCAACCTTCAAATCCTGCTTTTGTCCTATTTCCTGCTTTTGACTCTCTGTGGGATGTTCTGCCCTGTAGGCCACAATGCTGTTTGCTGAGCTGACCTATACTTTGGCCACAGAGGAAGCTGAACGCATTGGTGTAGACCATGTTGCCCGAATGACAGCAACAGGCAGTGGGGAGAACTCCACTGGTAAGGGAGGTGATTTCTTTGAAGCAGGGATGCAAGGTGTGACCATATGCCTTCTAACTCTTCATCTGTCCCCCTGTAGTGGCTGAACACCTGATAGCACAGCATAGTGCTATCAAGATGCTGCACAGCCGCGTCAAGCTCATCTTGGAGTATGTCAAGGCCTCTGAAGCAGGTAGGGCAGGTGCCTTCCTGGCACTCATCCTTTCTTTCCCTCCTGAGAAATTGACAGCGTCCATATCAGTGAAGCCTCTTTGTGCCCTTAGGAGAGGTCCCCTTCAACCATGAGATCCTGCGGGAGGCCTATGCTCTCTGTCACTGCCTCCCAGTGCTCAGCACAGACAAGTTCAAGACAGACTTTTATGATGTGAGTGTAAAATCCCAGGTGGGGAGGTGGGGCTTTCACCTTTTTGCAGGCACATGTGAGGGACCCCCTGGGGAACTGGTTCTTTTATTCCCTCCCAGCAATGCAACGATGTGGGACTCATGGCTTACCTCGGCACAATCACCAAAACTTGCAACACCATGAACCAGTTTGTGAACAAGTTCAACGTTCTCTACGACCGACAAGGCATCGGCAGGCGAATGAGGGGGCTCTTCTTCTGAGGGTACTTGAAGAGATCATACACAGGGGTCAGACAACTGCCCCAAAGGGGCTGGGCACTACACTCCCTTCAGAAACTGCTGTCATTAATAAAAGGAGCAGCCCCTAAGTACCCCTTCCAGTGGCTTTGTCCTCTTGTTAGGCACCACACTGGTTTCTACTTTGGGTCTCAAAGGAGGTTCTGCTTAGAGGCAATGCATTTTATTATCAGCTCTTCTTGACTCCCTTCAGTGAGTGAGTTCACTGCTACTTAAGATTCTCCTTAGTTCTGTTAGGTGGACTAGATTTATATTAAGGCTGCCTTCCACCTGAGTGGTCTCCTAGGACATCAACTTATATAGGCCAATCCTATAAACATGACAAGTGACTCCTTTCCCAAGCTAAGTTTTACTGAAAGTACTTTTCACAAAAAGGGAGGGAAGGCTATTAAAAATATTTATTATGGACAACTCAAAAGCTTGAATCTTCTGTGAATGACGAATTACCAGCAAGCAGTGCTTTTTCAATTTGTGTTTCATCCACATGGTGCCTCAACCCATGAGGCAGAGGGACTAGTTAGTATCCACATTGAGAAGATGAGATTCAGGAAGGGGTCCAAAGACTGGAATCAACATTATGTAATTACTTGTGCCAAGTGTTAAGTTTGTAAATGTTACCCTTAAATAGTTTTAGGTAGAGTTGAGGACTAAGGATGAATGGTAGGAACATTTCAAGAAATCAAAAAAAGAACTGGATCAGTAAGTCCTGTTTCCCATCATGCTACTATATTCTCAAAGTCAGACTGGCACACAACAAGAACCAGTTAAGTATTGAGAGACTAAGTATGGGGAGAGGAATGGAGACCCAGCTCAAAGAATCTCCATATGGTAGTGAAGACACTCTTGCTGGATTCTGGTGCCTGGCAGATAGAACAGTTACCTTACATGATTTATCAGATGAATAGAACAGAACAAGCACAAATGTGAATGGGATATAAATTTGAAAACCCCACAATGTTGTGTTTTAACTGAAATTAGGCCTAAACTAAAAGGTGACAACACTTTATTAGCAAAAGGAATAAAACAAGTGCATCAATGGGAAGAAGGGGTCTCCTTCCCTTCCAGGGCGTCATCACATTTTCAGAAGAGCAAGCAGGTCAGCATAATCCTGGGTGGGGCCCAATGTCTCAGGCAGATAGCAGTTAAACAAAGGTGATCTTTGTCCGGGAGGTATTGACCTGCCAGACATTCAACTCCTCATACTCATCCAGAGCCGCCTGGAATTGGGCAGGTGTGAAACCACGTGATATGCAGCGCTGCTCTGCCTCGGAAAACCGGACACTTCGGCCCCCTGAGACCAATTCACGGATAGTGGCAAATATCACATCTGCTGGCCTCTGGGTCCTGAAGGAAATGTGGGTGTGAAGAATTAGAGTACAAACCAGAATGCTGGACAGCAACAGAGATGGTGGCCAGTGAATTCCGAGGCCAATTTTGTGCACTTGTGGATACAGAAACCACAAAGATAAAGTGACCTGCTCAAGAAAGCCACAGTAACCCAATTCTATCCTTCATGAAGCCACTCACCTAGTTGTTTGCCCCTTGTCGCCTAGAAGTGAGTCCTTTGACATCTCCATTAGCCGTATGGCTTCATTCACATCTTCCTTCTCCACTGTGTCCACCATTCTCAGGCGTGCCTAAGGGGAAGGCAGGAGAGAGAGATGGGGACAGGAGGAGGGGAATGGAACGAAATTAGGGACAGCCTCCTTGTTCCATCTTTAAGGCAGGGCAAGCCATGCATTGCCTACTTAATAGAACAAGGATGGGGACCCCTGCCTGCCCTCCACATCCGCAGTGTTGGGCCGGCACTGTCAGACCGAGACAAGTGCAATGCCCAGGGCAACGTCCAGCAATTGCCCAAGTCTCCGCCTCTCAACACTGGCCAGTCCCGGTGTTCAGCTGTCCTGTGAGGGAGACCAGACCCTTCTGAACTCCACTGGGCTCCCCACCATGACAGATGGAGCCTTGGGAGCTCAGCCAAGGAGGCGATTGGCAGAGGGGTGTGTCCTGGGGGCTCGGGAAGTGCTAGCTCAGCAGTAGGTCAGGTAATCACACTACCTGCACGAACAGCACTTTGGAGCCCCCAGGACCAAGGTCCAAGATGTGAGGATAGAAATGAAGGTTTTATAGCACAGGATGTAGGACACAGGGAATGAACTGAACCCACCCATCCATCAGTGAGGCTGAAGCAAGAAGAGAAGGCCTTTCCCTCCATGGGCGCTGTGCATGCCCTACTGGAGCAGCAAGTACCCACAGTGCGGTAGCACGGAGAGGACCACTATCTGCACTGTCAGCACTTTAGCCCCAGCAGGGCCGGTGGGAGGGAGGAGGCAGCAAGAGGATTGTGTTAAGGCAAACTGCCAAGTAGGGATCAAAAACTGACTGCCATCCAGTATGATAGGGACTGGGCACTCACCAGAGCAGTAGAAAGTCGGAGAATAGCCAGCAGAGTCCGAGCAGATGTATAGGTGGCATCCTTACTGGCCCAAGCTTCTCGCCTCATCTCCACATATGCTGCTGTGATATAGTCAGCCAGAGACTCGGGCACTGTGGGCTGCTTCTCTCTGCACATAGCTATGTACCGTCTGTGGGAGAAAAGGTTCATGGGGAAGCAGAAAAAGGAAATGGAAATGGAGTAGAGGGGGCATGTGTTCTATCTGGACAAGGGTCCCCCATTTAAAAAAATTCTTGTAAAGGACTTTATTAAACAGAAAAAAATAAATCAATGGATGATTATTTGCTTGGCTTGAGTATCACTGAAAAATTTCTCCCAAAGTAGAGCTGCCAGTGCATTTCAAGTTATTTCCGACTTTTCAGGAAAAAAAGGCCTTTTCAAAAAATAAGACAAATCCACCTGTCATAAGAAAGGATCCAATGAATATCTAAAACAAAAATCCAGCCCCCTGAGAGTTTTATGATATAGCTAAAAGGAACAAAAATAATCTTTGTTTATAGGTCAAAAGGAATAAAAACCTGAGGATAGGTGGGGGTGGCTCTAGAAAAGAGTTATACAGTGTCTGGGGAGTAGGATCCAGCAGAGGTGGTAAAGTAAGGCAGGATCTGAAGATGCATACATTATTCTCATGAAGTCAGGCTGGAGGAGGAAAACAGGGACCTAAGACTCACTGTTCTTATTATTATTAGATTACCCAAGACTAAAAGCTTTTCAGGGAACATGTGGCCCAAGACACAGTCATGTACTAGGGACTTGCTGAGGAACACCCACCCCTACCTAGCCCTCCTACCTCATAAGCTTCATGTCCAAAGGTTCGAACTGGGAAGGGGGCTGCCGGCTGTGCTGGTGCACATAGGTGATGTGCTGGGCCAACCTGGGAAGAATGGAGGCAAGGAGTAATGCGTTTTAGGGGTATATGTCAAAGTCCTGACTTCAAAAATCCTTCACTTGATTCCTTCTGCTTCTCCCTCAAAGGCAAGGTCAGACTTTCCAGGAAACCCTCATCAGCATCTTAGGCCTCACACTAAGAACTACAGACCAGCCTTGCTATAAGAGGGGAAGGCTCTGGAGTTACTACAACCAGAAGTTGGGGGATTTTCTGATTTCACCTCCCTCACTCCCTCTAGACTTAAAAAGAGGGGTCTCTCTGGGTGTGAAACTTCATTCACCGGAGGTCATTGTCTCTGTCAGGCCGGTCCTGGATCAGCCAGAGGAGGTCAAATCGGGATAGCAGTGCAGCAGGAAGCTGTATGTTCTGCTCCAGGCTTCGGCGGGGATTATAGCGCCCATAGGCAGGGTTGGCGGCAGCCAGGATAGAGCAGCGGGCATTGAGTGTAGTAAGAATGCCCGCCTTGGCAATGGAGATGGTCTGCTGCTCCATGACCTCATGGATGGCTGTGCGATCAGCCTCAGCCATCTTGTCAAATTCGTCAATGCAGCACACGCCCTGATCAGCCAGCACAAGGGCTCCACCCTCCAAGGTGAATTCTCCGCTCACACTGTCTCTCAGAACAGCTGCTGTTAGCCCTACTCCAGAGGAGCCCCGGCCTGTTGTGTACTGGCCTGGAAAAAAAGGAGCAAACATGTTTTAGAGGAAGGACAAGGAAGAGAGCAAGCATAGGGCAAGGACAGGGGATGGGCCAGTGAGGCAAGGCCTGCACTGGAATTGCTCCCCCAGCTGAGGCCTTTTGGAGGTGGCTAAAGAGCTATGCAATGCTGTGGGGTTACATCCCTTTTCCATCAACCTTCACCGGAGACCTGTTCTCCCAGCCAAACTCCACCTTTTGAATGGGATTGCACTCTATCCCTACTCACTGCGGGGTGCCAGACGATCAATGTAAGATAAGAGCTGAGACTTGGCCACACCAGGATCCCCCATCAGGCAGATGTTGATGTTACCTGGAAGAAAAGAAAGAAGTCAAATGACCATTCTCCTAAGCATGCTGTCCAACAAAGACACTTCTCAGGTCTGCCTTCTTTCCTGTTATTCCTTCTAAGCTTCCCTGTACCCATAAGGCCAAGACACCAACTCTTACTTTGTGATATTAAGAGACAATGAACCTTACCACCCTTTTTTCCCTCCCATATAATTTTATCCACCTGAGCTGCTGCTTACCCCTGATTTTCATGCCTCGAGGAGACTGGTCAACGCCACCAACAAGAAGCAACAACAGTGCTTTCTTCACATCCTCGTGCCCATATATCTCTGGGGCAATTGAAGCAGCCAACTTTTCATAGAAATCCTCCTCTGCAAGGAAATTAGAATATATTCTGGGGCTAGAAAGACACTCAAATCCCCACTCCTTTCCCTGACCCCTTACCTGCAATCTGCTTTAGCTCCTCCCTGCTCAGCTCTCCGGCCCCAGCCTCATCATCCTCACTCTTATTCATCTTCACAATTCGATGGGCTTCCAAGTAAGTTTCTGAGAGTAAACCCTTAGACAGGAAAATGCTAGGATGTGAATGAAATCTGCTTAACTTGCCCCCACCCAATTCCCTAAATTTCTTGACAAAACCCTCTGGGGGGTGGGGGAGGGGATTAAAAAAATGGGTGAAGAGGAAAAGGACTGTTTTCTCTTCATTTGAAACTTTTCTTCTCACCTGTACCACCTGTCGGAACCCGGAGCGCAAGACTGGTAAGAAAATACCAGTGACACTGACGTGATCTCCAGGCTGGGCAATCCTTGTATTTTCTCCTTCCACTAGCACTGTGATGCCACGAGGGATGTTTCCCACAGGCACTTGGTCACTCTAGAAGTGGAAGAGCACATGAAACAAAAGGGGAAACAAATTTACAAAGGAAATCACAGTGACCTGACTTTCCCTAGGCGCTCTAAGGCTTTTCTCAGCCTGCCCACCTTTAACTACACTACAAAAGAGAAGAATCCTTTACCTTTCCAACTCAATCAGAAAATTCCAGGTAAACCTCCCTCCTGCTCTAGGTGATCTCTCTGTCTTATCTC